AAACAGTGCCGCAAAAAGAGAAGGAGGCAGGGAGAGAGTGAGAGTGACATTAAGCAATCAGTCGCGACCACTTTTGGTAACAGTCCAAATATTTCAAATGTGTCTCAAAATGACCGTGTACGAAATGTGAATCTCGGAAAATATTTGTTTGACGCTCGGCGGAAAATCGACGGTAGGTGAAGCTGGGGGAGCGATGAGCGATACAAAAAAAAATAGATCCACCTGAATAACGTGTGCATAATTGAGGAAAAATGAATTTTATCACATTTGAAATGTCAGCGTCAGTCATAGAGCTGCACTCGATTCACTTGGGATGCTAAAGCTGTGAAAATCCAATTAAAATTCTACGCATAACACACTATCTCCACTGAACAGTGGCAGATGTCAACCAGATTTGCTCCTCTTCAGCAATGCGCTTTTTCCGCACCGCATTTTGTTGTTGCCGTTCCTATTTATCTGTTGGTCGAATTCATTGTTCCGAATCGCTTTTGCATAGCTGTCTCTCTCTCTCACTCACTCTCTGCCTCTCTCGTTCTCTGCCTTTCGCGCCGCTGGATTTTTTGATTCCGAGTCGACGGAAGTGTGTGGTTTCATATGATAAACACCTGCACGCCAAACATTATTTTAAAGCCCATTCGATGAATATTTCCACACACACACACACACACACACACACACACACACACATTTCGACTCTTTGCACCGAATTATCACACCGTTCAACTCTCAATGGAAATTTGTGACTTTGCCTAACTGGAATTAGCCCGAGTCAAAGCTTCACAATCCAAAGTTTAATACACTCGAACTATCTGGGCATTGGGCAGCGTATGATATTTTTTTAGTTGTTATTGCTTTGTACACATTTTCGGCCAACCCCAGAAAAAAAATGCGGCTGTCACCGCCGAAGCACAGCTATGAAATGTATGAGATCGAGTTTGAGTGGCGTTGACATTTGAAATCCGTTTTGCACGTCATGTTTGTATCTGCACACCTGCACGCATATCAAGCAATAATATGAAATTATTATTGCCATTGCAATCATCATCAAAATGAATTTGGCAGCATTCGCATGAATGATGTACTGCGGACATAGTCATTTCGCAATTAGCATATTTGATTGTAGCACGTCATTTAAGAATCAAGCCGTGTTCTCAGTGTGGAAAGCGCTCGCAACAAAAGCCGTAGCAATTTTTTTTCTGTTGAATTACTATATCAGTGTGCTTAGATCATTTCACAGTGAAAACAGTGTGTTTGAATTTACTTGTTGCCAAAACCAATGTCTTATGTTCAAGACATTGGGTGTCACTCGGAAGTTACATTTGATTGCAAGTGTCAATAGAAAAGTCGTCAACATTGTTTATTCAACGTAAACCACCACTCAAAATATACACATACACGCATGTGAAGCACAAGGGATTTGTTTTCTTAATGTGAAGTAAAAACTACGTGAATCACAGAGAATGGGAACCGTTTGAGACATAAATACATGTGTGCATTTAACATACCGCTGTTTTGGTGTTTTACGAAAGAGGGGGAGAGAGAGAGAGAGAGAGAGAGAGAGAGAAAAATATTCGGTTTACCTTCGATACGACACAAAGAAAAATATATTCATTCAATTCGAAATGCATGCAAATTTGTATGTCAATCACACGCACCCGAATGTCGAAAATTAGACGTGCAAATACGGTTTGAACCAGCGATTTTTCTTTTCGCTTTCAAAAGATTGATACGGCTCGATTTCGATTCAATGAACCCAATGAATTGAGTCGTCACTCGGTTTGTTCATATGGTTAATCATCAAAGTCTCGCAAAAAGTGTACATATAGACTCGTGATTTATATTCGAATAAAGGGAACATCCTTGTATTGAACCCATGTTTAATGATTGATTTTACGCTCTTTTCATCCACTGTCTGCTATGATGGATTTAAATCAGACGAAATGCACTGAATTTCATATGAGTTCGACGAGAGATAAGAAACATTGGAATTGAATAGAATATTTTTGAACGGAGTCAACTTCTATTGGGGTGTAATATTAGCTTGAATATAACATTCAATATTGAATAAGTAGTCAGAGATGAAACTTTTATTTTATTGAAGTTAATGATTTTGAATTTTGAATTTTCCTCCTTTTTTTCGAAAAAAAAAACTTCTGGAAGCAATTTAGTAATATTCATCTTCCGTTTACATTTCCCAGTTTGCAACCGCCAATTGGAATACTCAAAAATAAATCAAAAATTGAAATTGATGATAATAATTAATAGAGGTGAAAATTAAACGGATTGGAAAAAAAAAATCATCAATGTGTAAAAATGACCAGATGATTGAATAGCCATGGTCAAATGAATCGCAAAACTTACCGTGATGTGTTTGCCAAATGAATGTCATAATAATCATAAACAACGAAAAAAATAAACTCAAAATAAATTTGGTTTAAAGAAAGTTTTGTGTAGAGACGGAAAAAATATTTGTAAATTTATGAGCAAGTTGATGAAACTCAATCAAAACCGTGGAATAAAATGCATTTGGCAACCGAAGTGACATCAACGACAAATCATCAATTGTCAACGACATCATCATCATCATCATCAATGGATACAAAAAGCGCTGTAAATGAAAATAACAAACAAACTAAAACGGATTCATCGGCCAAAACCAGTAACAATGGCTTTTTAACCGCCCAAGAATTGGCTGAACGAACCATTGACAGTTTATTGGCCGAACATCCCGGAGAATTGGTTCGAACTGGTTCACCACACATTGTAATTTCTATTTAACCATTATTATATTAGCTATGAAAGTTCAAATTCGTTTCAAATGAGGGTTTTTTCCTATACAAATAATTTCGTACATTTGCTGTTTCAGGTGTGCACAACGTTGCCGACTCATTGGCGATCGAATAAAACGTTGCCCGGTGCATTTAAGGTTGTTGCGTTGGGTGAAGTGAACGATGGCACATTGGTCACTGTGAACGGTACATTTTTATTGGAATACAAAATTTCCCAATTTTTTTTTCTCCCCAAAAAATTGACAATTTAAATTATTATAAAAATAATTGTGATGTCAATTCATTTAATAGCTGGCAACGACGAGAATTTCTGCGGTGAACTCCGCAATCACACCGCCGTGATGAAAAATCAAGTGGCTAAATTCAACGATCTCCGATTCGTCGGACGCAGTGGGCGAGGTAATTTAAATAATTCCGTGAAAAAAAAAACGCAACTATTCTGACTTTAAAAATGAAACAAATTTAGCATAAATTGAACTTGAAAATCAATTTGAATTGAAAAATGCAGGCGATTTCTCATGCTGCCAACGCACAATGGCGGCACAATTTGATTATTTACATTTTCTTCAATTTATAAATGAATTCGGTTCAATGATCATCATCATCATCATTTCTCTTGTGCATGTCTCGTCAAGAGCCCGAGCGCGTCTGCATTCATCATTTTTTTTGTTCTTTTTCTGCTTTATATCTAATTTACCGACAACACAGCCGTGTTCGTTTCGAGAAATGCGCGCAGCGAGAAAAGAAAAATACAAATCAAAATTGAAGAACTCATTACAATGTTAGATAATTCAAAAATAAAAGAAGACGAAGTGAAAGATTATATTATTTTGCGGGAGTTTGCTGCCGAAGGTTCGTTGTACGCCGTTCTTGGCAGCGGTGGCGGTGGCTAGGAAAATACGTGAAATGTACACTTGTAGCAAGATGTTCATTTTTTTTTCTCCGTCACTCAATAGAATCGCGCGATTTTTTTTCCGTTGTTCAATTTCACCCCTCAAATGAACGCGGCAAATGAATCTCCCACACCACGAATTGATGACGCGCGCTCGCTCTCATCTTAAATTAATGAACATAATGAAAGAAACATCAAAAACCTTATTTATTACAATTTAAAGAAGAAAAAAAAATTCTACCGGCAGCGCATTGTGAACTTGAGCGAAAACCTGCCAAGTGGCAGCACAACATCAAGTATTCCCAGGCCTTGAACCATGGCAATGGCACAAATGATGCCGCTGATAGACATTGATGCTCAACATTGTACATAAATCGTTCGTCAAGACCACTCTTTGTTTGCTAATTCTTTCGCCTTTTCGTTCGTTTATCAATTGTTATGCTCTTCTTTTTTTCCACCATTTTTCTGTTTTTCTCTCTCGATTGTTCAGCATGTATTTCGAGTATACTTTTACGTTTGAAAAATGGCTTTTTTCGATAACATTTCTATTATTTATTTCACCTGGCGTTATCAAGGGCGACAGCATGTTTCAGTAGACATTTTGTTTACAAGCAGAAAAATTCCGAAATTCATCTCAGCGCACGATGTTTATCAACACGATATCTTTTTTCCTTGTTTTTCGTGGAATGGAAAAAAGAAATATTCGGTTTCACTTGAAACCAACGGCAAAACCCAATGCCATGAAGTAGCAAAGTTGTGTTATGTGTAACTTAAGAAAAGTCTGTAATAAAGTCGCATAATGACATTTGCCTGCGGCACAATTTAAATTCGTTTCCAATCCACTTATGGGATGAGCGAGAATAGAGACAACAAACGGCTCAAACGCAAATTAGCTAAATCATTCATTTACCAATGTGAATCGGGCAATGACAGTGGGTAATGGTGTTTTGGAAAAGAAGTTATTTAATACCAAAGAAAAATAATGGATTTTCATCGTGAATCTTTGTTTAATGAAAATTAGACCCAAATATGACTGAAAAATGGCCAACAATGTTAAAAAGTTGAAAAACGCAACATTTTTCATGTGAAAAATACTTGAGATAAGCCATTGTAGTCAAAATGTTCATAGAGATGAAAACAAGACCGCAGTTCTTGAGTTTTTAGTTACTTAATCTATTTTGTTGTTTCACAACAAACTATTTTTTGGCGCACTACATGAAATGTATTTCATCAAAGTAACATTGAAGTAATATATTTATTTGCAAAATGAATAACAAGATCTTGGTTTAATTTCTTTTTTGAAATATACTGCCTTTGGTTTAAATTAAATATATAATATGAGCTTAAAATTCAAATTCACCATAATTTGTTTCAATACTCAAAAAGTATCTAGGAAAAAAAAGCAGATTAGTAGCTCTACATATCATGTAGTGCTGAAAAAACTAGCGATGGTCCATTTGCATAATTGAAAAATCCTTAGTTTATTCTCCGAATTGAGTAATTCTTTGCAAATATTCATCAGTTGGTCGTCAAAAAAGCGCTATGGTAACGCAAGACATGCTTCAATGAAAAGGCATTTCATTAAAAGGGTTCGTGAAACCATACACCTTGCTCCTGGTTAGAGTTATTTCGTGTACATAGTTCTCCTTTCAAATGAAACGATGACGATGACGACGACCTAAATATACGACGCTTGGACCCAGCGTCTGCATACACACGAAGCATTTGTTTTCCATCAAATATTCAACTCGAAGAAATTAATAGAGCCAATGAATTATTATTATTATCGTGGTGTTTTGTTTGAATGCCAGTTCGAAATAGCTTGGGATAATGAGCAAAGAGTGAAAAGAGAGCGATGGCAAACGTAAAAGTTTTGCCCTTTTAATTTACGACACGATGGCTCGTTTCTTTGGTTTGGTGATGCACCCAACAGTTCAAGACGCAAACATTTCGCCGACACTCTCGCTGTGCTTTTCATAATTGAATGTCCGAGAATGAAAACGCAACTTCTATTCACAACACACATAAGTGAAACAAAAATAAAAAAATTTATTGAAATGAAACAACACAATCGAATTTTTTCAAAGTGTAACAACAAAAAAGATTTTTTTAAAGTGTAACATCGGTATGTTGTTACACTTACTACATATCGATGTTACACTTTAAAAAAATCTTTTTTGTTGTTACACTTTGAAAAAATTCGATTGTGTTGTTTCATTTCAATAAATTTTTTATTTTTGTTTCACTTATATGTGTTGTGAATAGAAGTTGCGTTTTCATTCTCGGACATTCAATTATGATCAATA